ATTAAGTCAAAATTTCTGCCAATAGAGTAAGAAAATTTTACTTGGTAAGATTCTTGAAATACTTGATTTGACTCAGTTTTTTATTATTTCAAGAATCTTACCAAGTAAAATTTTCTTACTCTATTGGCAGAAATTATTATCCTTACACAATCAGTTCTTGTTTAGTAAATCAGTCTCAAAACAAGATCAAAAATACTTTTTTGCTGGAAATAAGATTTTAAAACTTGGCAAGATGGACAGTTTTTGCAGTGTAAGGGGCCAAAGTTGTTTGCTGTTTTAGGACAATTCTTATCTTAAAAAAGCATAATTTCATGTTGAATACAAATCATTGCATCATCATCAGTTATGTATTACAAAGTTATTTCAGCCAGAAATATTATCCTACAGGAAGTGTCCCTGGATGCATTAGAAATGCTACAACTAGCTGCTCCTGCTTTATGAATGATGTTTAAATAATGAGAAACTGACAAGTAAAAATGTATGTTCCTGTGAACCACAGTGAAGTATTTTAGGTGCATGTTGTTTTAAAATGACAGCAAATCACAGCAACTGTTAACCCGTCAACCTGGTCAGAATTAAACATTTTCCAAACTGAGGCTGCTCAGAACTACTGTATACCTGAACTATACAGTACTACAGTACTTCTCAGAAGTTACTGACCCTTATAAACCTGCATCTGAATCAACTTGGAAAACTGTGTTAGCCCTTTCGTCCTGAGCTCCTTCAAGTTCTAAACAACTTTAAAACAACAACCATTTGATGGATGTGTTTTTAGRTTCACGATGCATGCAGTCTATGTATGGTGTTGTAAGGGCTGCTGCTTCCATCTGTGTGTACATTTTCTGTAACCACGAGGTGCAAAGAAAAGCTAAAAACTCTTACATAATGTTCCCGTTTCAACAGTCTTATGAGTTGTGAGAAGAAGGGGCTAATATCCTTATTAAGAAATAGCTCTGTTAAAAATCAGACTTTATTGGAAACAAACAATTGGCTTTGTTTCTGAAACAAGAAAYTCCAATGAATGGTTTAAACATAGCTGCTTGTTCTGTGTCAAAAAAAAAATCAGCTGGGGTTAACTCCAGCTTCCTCAAACTCTGAATCACAGCACTGAAATCAAATGTTCGCTTAATCTAAAAATTTTTTATTTCTTTGTAATTTATTTTGTTAAAGACTAAAAGTCACAAAATGCTCTTGATAAACATGCACTTAAAATTGGAGWTAAAACCACAAAGTTTTATTATTAGACAAGAATTCATTCATAATTTAAAAGCTTTTTTGTTGTCCTATTTAGGTTTGTCTTTGTTCTCTTTTGTCTAACTTGTGGTTATATAATTTGAAAGACAAAAAATGTTGTTTTTGTTTTGCCCCTTTTATTTCCTTTTTGCTAAAACCTCTAAATGTCATATAATAGTATGTTAAGTTTTGATCTTCAAAGCCTCAAYTTTATGATTCAAAGCATAAAACACTGGTTTAAAACATGTCAGCGAGGTCTTGAATTGTTTGTCTTGGGTTGAATGGTTCAGGATTCACTAAACTGTGAATAGCTGTAGAGAAGTTTCAGACAATTGCTTTCTGCAGTTAGTCGACCAGTAACCCACAGGAATGTGAAAAATACGGTGCACAAAAAGCACCAAAACTGACCAAAAAATGTCGGGTTTGGATTTTACTTGAGTGTGTTGGACTTTCTGAAAGTTCATCAGAGGAAAGAGAACAAATCACACGTGCTGGTTTTTGAAAAACAAAAATCAAGAAGCATTATTTTGTATGCAGCAAATACACTGTTTTATTCAATAGCTTGTCTTTTTCTGATTTCCTTCCTCAGCTTGTGGCAGCCATGTTGACAGCATGTTTGAGGCTGCTGTTGTTCCTCCCTTTGGTTTGCTGCATCCCCTCCTCCACCAGACCCTCGTCCAAACAATGCAGGCGWTGCTGCGACCAACTGGACCCCCCAGCAGCTTCAGCTCATTACCAAATGCCTGAAGTCAGAACTGTTATCAACATGACMATCCTGAAAGGTACCAGAATACCAATCCGGTTCTGCTTGGTGATGTTGTTTGGGAATTGTGTTTTAGCTAAAGAAAATATAACTTTTTTAACATTTTTAATGACCTTAACACAAACAACCCACTTCTCACATTTGCTTTAGTCCCCCTCAGACATCGTTTAGACAAGAATGCAGTGTTTTCAGGTTTACACTGTAATTTACTCCAACCTGTYACCCTTAGATGTGTGTGACGTTCTCCTTTTCTTCAATCACTGCTTCTGTTTAACAAGATGGCTGTATGCTCAGAGGTGTAATCATGCTACAACGGCACCACCATTCATGTTCAAGTGGAAACGAGGAAAAGTGGGAGACAGACTGCTGAAAAATAAATTAGACACTCCAGTGATAAAAACAACTTAGAATCCATTAAAAAAGCCGATGTCTGTTTAACACTTTGCGAAAATGAAGGCTGGCAAGGGCTAAAAGGTAACCTTTAGAGCACGTGTCAAACTCAAGGATTGCGGGCCAAATGCAGGTGATTTCCATGTGTGTGTGTGTGTGTGTGTGTGTGTGTGTGTGTGTGTGTGTGTGTGTGTGTGTGTGTGTGTTTTAAAACAAATTTAAAAGGTGAAAGAAAATAATAATTCTTCTGCCCCTGAGCTGTTGGCTTTAAGTAACAGCAATTTCGTTGTACAGCACAGTAATAATGTCTCAAAACAAGCTGCTTTAAAGTCGGCATCAACCATAAACTAAATTTGCTATAATGCAGCTACTCACTAGAAACTCATCAGWGAGAAAAAAATTTAGTTTTACTTTTAATATTTCTGAATTTATTTCAGATGTAGTCAGTCATGCACGTTCTTATCAGTGTTCAAAAGAGGACTTGTTAAAACACTGTTCAGTCAAAGTTAAACATGAAACATCAAAGTTCATTACAACTGGCCCTTTGAGGGCCACCATAACTGTCACGTGGCCCTCAGTGAAAATGAGTTTGACACCCCTGCTTTAGAGCATTTAACAGTATGAAACACAGCAGAATGCTTGTAAGATGTTAGGTGAGGGAATTGATTTAAAAAAATAACTTCAGTAAGTCTCATGAAATAAATGAAAAWGCTTATATTCTCTGTTTGCAATTTGTCAGTCAAAATGTCTGAGTTTCCATCTAAAGTCCATAAGACATGTTAAACATGCTCGTATCTTTGTTTTGTTTGTTACTTTAGTCCTGTGTGTGCTCAGGATCTCATGATGGTGTTGGAATAGACTTCAGATAAAACTTACATGAATATTCATTTTCAAGCACATTTGAGCAGGACTAAACCCTATCCAATCATGTTTTTTTTATAATTGCTGTTGTTAGCTTGAAAATTAAAATGTCAAATATTTATTTTGTTAAACTGTGGAGTTGTACGCAACAATAGCTTGTGTGCTTTACTTCAGCCTCATTCCCATCAGCTAACAGCACACTTTAGGTCAATGAACTCTCTGAAAACAAAACCCTTTTTAGAAAACAGTTTTGTGCTGTAGCCTCAGAGATGAGCTCCCATTGMTGATGTGAGTGCCCATAAATGAAGCCAGAAGAGGTCTGGAGTAGCACTTGTCAAACATCCTCTCACTYTAAATCCTGTGCTGGTCTCATTGACCGTCTGTCTTGACTACATCACCTTTGCGTCATGAAGATGCACTGAAAAAAGAACTTGTAAGATTTGCTTGAAAAAAAATCCTTGTAACAATTTGCACTAAATGCTACAAATTCATGCAATATTTACTCATCATTATCTAGTAAAAGTTACTAAGAATATAGTTAAAGATTTGTGAATAAATCAGGTGAATTTTACTTAAGTTGCACATTTAAATCTTGACAAGATATAGCTCTTGTTGTAGTTCAAGACTTCACCACCAGGTGGCAGTTTTAAAGAACCTTTGTTGGATTCTTCTTCATGAACAACACAATGTGAAACTCGCAGGTCTTATTAATGACTAGGACTACCACTCTCACTTATGGTTACTTC